TTTGATGCCTCTTGTCAAAAGCAGATTTAGCCTCTTGTATCTGCTTAACCTGTCGATATTCCGAAAGTGATCTCTGATGCAGGACCGCGGTTAATGTCTCAGGATCGCAGCTAATGTCTTAATTCATCGATTCTGGGATGATTATTATGTTAAATTTTACAGTTCATACAATGGATGAAAGATGATCGTTTTCACGTTGATTTAAATAGAGAAAGGAGAACAGCATCTGTTGAAATCGGACACATAAGGTGTTTGCTATATTAATTTTTCGTCGGGCATTTATATTGGGGCCAAAGGGGAATAAAAGTAAAACATGGCATGTTAAAAACTAAACTTTTATAAATCAGAAAAATATAACGTTTCCTTTATGAGTTCATCTTTTATAGCAAACCATACAAATAAGCAATATTATCATTTATTGGATGTTGAGAGGGAGTATTAATGTTATGAAGTCATCACCCTAAACAAGGCCTCGATTACGCCATTCTTTTTTACGTCCCACTGGGATAAGGCGTGTGCCCTTTTATGAAAAAGGTAAAAGGTATGAAAATATTTGAATTACTAAAATCGATATGGCACAGGTTTCAAATAAAAAGCTTCATAACATTCAAGCAACTTTATACACAATCTAACAGTGATTTTAAATTTCAAAGATGGCTAGAGTCAATGGATGCAGTTATCTGTTTTGATATAGTTGTAACATATGGTACACAAAGATAACTTTAGAGTAAAATAATTATATATTAAAAAGAATTCATTATCAAAGCTTCTTCTATAGGGCGCAACCAATGTACCCATCCCTAACTAAACCCACTTGCAGGTTACGATCTATAAAAACACTTAAACTGTGACACCAGCAGGTTCCTCTTATCGTGCATATTTTTTTATAAAAGAACTTTTTGGTTGGCATAAATATAATTCATTTGCATTTTAGTACCTTTTTACGATTTGCATTTTTAACAAATGCAGGTATTAAAATTTCCAACTTTCACCAATACAGCGTTCGTCGAATATTATTGCTCCTTCTGAATGTATTTTCATAAATATATTTAAAGAATCTGTTTTATGCACGTTCCTCATATCCTCAAATATGAGAAAACGTAATTCCATATACACTGATAAAACATTTCAAACTTCTAAACATTCCTTCTTCTCGTGAAGTCACCTCTAGCACGTTTGGCACCGGTTGAACGTGATAAAACTACAGTGTGTATTTTATTAATTTGCATGTCGACGAAGATCCGAATAATTTAATAGAAAAGCAAATTTACTAATAAAAGACAATATTTACTTTTTACGTCTAAAGTGGATTAGTAAATGCAAGATATTGAATGGGTAGACTATACCACTCAACTTTGACTATTTATGCAAACACTGGAAAGATTCAGAATAGAATACTGAAGGGCCAATTCCGGCATATGCGTGTGGCGTAAGCAGACGACAGCCTCGACTACAACCGCAATGAAACGCTGCTTTCTAAACGTTATCTGAACAAGTATGTGTATTTTGACCCAAACAACCCTTTGCGATATCAAAGAGGCAATTAAAGAATTAATCGACCATCCTTAGTTGAAATAAATTTGTTTGTTTTTAAGGGGGGTTAAATCTGACAAGCTTCATAAGCTATAAAACTTCCCCAAAAATATACTAAATTATGAAAGAAAACAGGTATTTCGACTTTTTTTTGACAAACAAATACGTTAAGAACTATTTTCATTGCATATGGACGTTTTATAAACTGGAAAAGAGCTAATTAAAACATAAAAACATTTAATTTCCCAATATATCCAAAAATTATCTATGACGAATAAAGCAGGTAGCACGGTTAAACAGTGTATCTTTTTTAAAGTTAGTATCGTTCATTCTTCTTTGATATGACATTTGAAAACGACCCAATATCTTAATCAACGAAAATGAATTGACCGCCCATCCAAAAGTATTTTACAAGCCCTCAATGGTTAAGGTGTTACCAATCGCAAATTATTCTCATGAAAATTATCCTCAAAACTGGCCAATATATATATATATATGGACATTTATTTGAAGAAGAAAAAAAACCATGAAATTCAGTTCTTCTTGTCCAAATTCTGGTACAAATAAATTTCATTTTTTCTATCTGAAATGCCTTATTTAGTTATCCAGCCAGACAATATAGGCATAAAGGATTAGAAGGTTAGAAGAGTTATAAATCCGATTCATCAATATCATGTATATTAGGTTATTCCCAAAATATTATGAAATTCTATAAATATCAACAGGTGTTAATAACAACAACACCAGTGAATCAACGCCATGGACAAAGATAAATGGTCTTCATAATGGACATTATATATTTTACAAGTAGGGGGTGTAATTACAAGGAAACGTTGTCAAAAAACTTGTAAAGGTATTCTGAAACATTTTTCATAAGATATGACAAAGCTATGACAGACTTATCATTACTATTAAAACATATAATCTGCCATCTTGTGACAGGAACTTGTCGTTCATATGTCTTGACTTATATAAAATTGGTATTTTCACAACAATTTGGTGGCAGTAATATGAGTTTTCAATATTTTCTATGTACGCTTAATATAATTTTGTAAATAAAGCTAAGAGGGGCGCAGGTAAATTGGTAAGATGTTAATTGAGTCCACGAGTGTATAGAACTGTTTGAATTCCGAAAAAATTAATTCCCAAGTAGCAAAGAGAATAGGGGTGGAAGTAGAAATAGATTATAATCAATAATAATCTGAGTTCGGGATTCAAGAAAGATTTTCATTGGTTTTATGGTTTCGTGGGTCTATCTAAGGAGTCGTTTTTCCTTAGATACAAATGTCTAATATTTCTCATATAAATCAAAGCATGAAAAAATGGGCAAATGAGCAAGGAAATCGTTGCATTTGATGGCACGGTCTATCATTGTTACGAGTTGCTCAATAGCAAACAGAAACACTTATGCCAGGAATGTTGCGAATAATGAAAAACTACCTTCCCGTGATTTAAGAAATTAACACGATTGCGAAATTAACAACAGAAATGTCTAAATGAAAATCATATTTACTTGTTTTTATTTAGTCATGCAGTAAATAACAATGATGTATATTTACTTTTATAATCATATATTTAAAAGTTTCAAGGTCAATATTCCGCACCTTTATCATTTTATTTTAAATTGTAGCATATATTTTTTAATTCTTAAATTTAACCTCTTCAGTAAAAAGATAACTCAAGGCCAAACATGTTATGTAAAAGATCGAACGTTAGTTATACGTTTTCTTAATCAACTTCCTAATTAATTAGACAATAAATTTCAATTTGATATTTAATATGTGAATCATCTTTGCATTGTCTCCCATAAAAGACACCACAAGTATTTTTAATTTAACCGCAGAAGTCAAGATACAGATCAACCCAATTAGTTGTTTTTCTCTGCGGCGTAATTAATTTCCATTGCTTTCAAATTAATAAAAGCTTATACAAAGAGCACTAAGATTTTCGAAATGCAGCTTAATATATTTTTAAAAAGCCTAGAAAACATCTTTCTGGTTTAAATTTATAAATATTTAAAAAGACAACAAATAAACAAACTTTCAAAATTTAGTTTTGAAGGTTTTATAACCCCCATATAAGGATAACTTATAAAGCACTCAAAATGTCAAATAGTATGATTTAATTCCTTAATTCTTTTAACATATTTTTATACTTATGTAATATATTGTCAATATTTGTTTTGATCAAAAGATTGAAATGCCTCCCAGATACGAACCAAAATGTGGTTTACAGTTTTGTAAAATATATGTTTTCTTTTGTTAAGCTTTGTTTATAACCGTTCTCAACAGTTATAGATTATACATCTAGATAAAAGCAACTGACCGTTAGAAATATAATTGTAGAAAAAACACTACGTTTCCTATTTTCTCATCAAATAATTTCAATTTCTAATAAGTAACTATAAGACATTACGAATTTAGATTTACAAGCATATTGTATATCTTAAAAGATGTTTACATTTTTCCCCCGTTATTTTGTAATTTTAAGATCTATAAATTCAAGTTTATTCATTGTTTTGTTAAAATTTTATTTGTAAGACTCGTAAATAAATATATATTTAAATGCTGTTCAATCTTTTACGTGACTGATGAAGTTGAAACCGGTCTGAAATGTTTCAGTTTACTATTCAATTCTGAAATACATGCAGCGATAGTGGTGTCGGATTATATTATAAATTATCAACTTAATATATATTTAAACCTTAAATTTTATTAAAATTGAATTATATTTTGTGTGGTTTTTTTTTCAAGAAAACAGTATTCAAAAATAAAAATGTTAAAATTTGATATAGTTGATCGTTAATTGAAGTATTAAAATAAAGGTCCTTCTCTTATAATTTGTGGCTCAACAAATCTTATATTTTTAAACGATATTATTTGATCTTAATTTTGTTTAAATTTGGCATTAATAAGCGATAGAAAAATGGATAAAAGTAATGCCAAACTAAACTTTTAGAAAAAATGTAGAATGTGAATTTTCAAAATCATATGTTTTTATAATCATATCACATGAAAAATGGTTATGCCGATAAAATGCATGCTACGTATCTCAAAGATTACGCCGAGTATCTTATTTTAGATAAAGACTGCATTATTTTGAGAATACATTTCATCACAATAATTTGTTAACTTTTTTTTTCTCCGCGAGATCTGTTATCTATTAGCATCTACCAATAAACTATTTGAAAACAAGAAGAATATCATTATTCTCGGTAATCTACAAGATGCCGATGCAATGAAAGCATTAAAACTAGACAAGTAACTATTAGACAAAATCATTAACCAGATACCACGAGACTTTGTTCCTGTGGTTTATGTGTATTACTATTTGCGTCAAAGGAAAACTCACTGGGAAGAAACATACGTATACAAACAAAACTGTCATTATACTGATCATAAACTGTCAAAAAATAGAACGTTACAATGTAACGTAGTAATAAACTAAACATGGACTTTTTACACTACCTGTTTTTGGGGTGTTCCGTTTAATTTGCATCCACCGGAACGGCTTTGTTTGCAGTTCTTGTCCAGAAATAGGCTCCTGTTTTATTTGTGTTGCATGAGATGGTTGCTGAAGAGAAGAACCATACGGGTTTGACAACGAACACGATCCGTAATTTTCTAAACAAGCGTTAGGATAGTTTGTCCGTCCGGGGGATAGACTCATCTGAGCCCCTCCAAGATGAATGTCACCGTTTATTGTCAAACCATTATGATTATGCCCATTTAAGTAATTGTCCACCAAATGGCTTTGGTTTTCAGGTAGATCATATCCGGAATTTCTCGAATGTCTTGGAATGATAGTGGAATTTACTGGATATGAAAGACACTGTCCGTTTCCAAGTGAAAGGTCTACTCCGGACAAATTGTGTGGAATGACATTTTCTGATCCGTAATAATTTTGTCCCGTATCTAACGAACGATTATTAACAGCATTATATCCATAAATATTGTTTGGGATTTCTGAATTAGAATAACCGTTTCCATAATGTTGCGAATCTAAGTTACAAAGTGTGTAATCACTCTCAGTATTCATAATTTAGAACGTTAAATTGTCAATAGGGGTGCCTAAATTAGCCCGTCGATCTAAAGATAAATCTAAAATAAATGAAGCTAAATTACAACTTGAAAATGACAAGATTAGAGAGACTTATACCAGCCACGTGACAATCTCTATCCAATCACGATCAATTTAACTACATCAGTTGGTAGTCAACGTTTGATTGATGGATTATTTCACAAACTTACTCAGCCGTGACGGAGACGTCGACGTCCTTAAAAACAATCATCAATGCTTTATGAACTCGTTTTTTTCTGTTTATTTTATGCAAAACGCATAAAACTTGATTGGTTCTGATTCTTATATCAATATTTATTTTTCTAACGGTATTGTTGATTTTTGCATTGGATGTTATCATAACCCGATTATATCATCAAAGAACAAAATCGTCTTTTTTGATTTACCTATACAGGTAAAATATGATATTATTTTCATATGATTTGTAAATGATCTGCCAAAGTCAATAGACCGTAACAAGATACACATGGGTTAAATTTTTGTTTGGAAAATACATAATTTATCGCAATATTCATTTTTCGTCAAGTGGTTTTATTTTAGATAGCTCGGTATGATGTGTAATATATCTGTCATCATTGTAAAGCAAAACCACCATGAATGCATTTGCCATATTTCCCAATCAGCGGGGATACGCTAAGAAAAAATAACTTTCAGCATCTAAAATTCTTATTGTAGCCAGCCAAATCTCTGACAAAGAAAAATCTATTCAAGATGAGAAAATGTTTTCGTAACACCATGATTCCAAAATAACTATTTTACATTTAACAAAGGGCTAAACGCTGAGAATATTTTATTACCAAATATTATGAAAATAATTTTCATATTTCCAAGGCGAATTTTATTTACTTTTAAAAATAGTTGTTTGGAAATTGAACTATTGAACGGTCAGTAATTTTCATTTTAAACTTAGCCTTTAACATGCAATTATTCGGTTTCAAGAAAATATTTTCCCACGGAACAGCTCAAGACTAACACATAATGCTCATCATGTGGTAATTGTTGTGTTATTGTTTTTTTTCTCGCGAAAATGAGTTGCGTTCACTTGCAGAAGTTTTGATAAATATAGTTGCACGGCGAAACGAGTAAATATACATTAAAAGTACCAGTCATAACTATTTCAGTTAAAAAAATATGTATTCATTCATTCACACGGCAAATGAATGAAAAATATCATTTACCATTTTTCCGCTCAACAATCTGTAGGTATACTCTCGAGATTATGGTCTTATAACGTTCCAGGTACTTAACTGTTACTTTATCTTGATAGATTTTTATCTAATTTACTACTGAAAGTGATACTTTAGTTCATTTAAATCATTTACAATAATAAAATAATTATGGTATCTGCAAAATGTCTTTTTATGCTTGTATATTTTAATGCTTTAGGCAAACATTTGTGTGGTGATACTTTTTGTATTTGGAAAAAAAGGATCGCTGATAATATACAAATAGTTTCAAAATCCTAAGTTTATAAAATTATAAACTAAATAACAGTAAACATGATAAATGACAAACAAAAACAATTGAATAAATAAATTAAATAGTCGAACGTTTCATTCAACATTTGACTGAATGGGTGCTTCAAATGTTAATGGAGGGAACAGAAGAGCGATGAACTTGGTTAAAATTTACAATTTTTATATATATAGCCACCAAGTTCCAATAATTGACAGTTCATGATGACTTAACACAATCCTTAACTATACTAATTTATTCAGACTACTATAAATTTATACCAAGAGCTGAAATCATAATAACTGAAGCAAATATATATCAATAATATTATATGCTTTGAATAAAAATCAATATTTTCCGACATATATAAACCACAGTGCAGTTATAGATTTTTCAATATTTCTTTGCATCACATTTTAACTATATACGATTTTGTTCGTCCCAGTCCCCAGACGTTTTTCTTTCCTGTTACTTGCGGTATTACGGTACACTCGACTTCTAAGGTGTAATATAAAAAGAGGAACTACTAACCTTTAGGAGCACCTCTTTTTTAAATGATCCATTGTACCAAAAAAGACACTAAAATAGCTAAAAATGGACAGAAAGTAAATGCAGAAGTAATGTTATGACTTCGTCGTTAAATCTTTTATCAAAACGTCGAAAACGAAACGGGGACCTGACTATGGAAATATGGCATTTTCTGTCCGGAAGTACGACCTTTGCTGAAGGGGTTTATTTAGATGTGTGGGATGTATAAATAAGCAGCCAAGTCCGATTGAAACGGGTGGTTCAACTCAGATATTCCGCGTGGAATGTGTGCCCCATTTTCTGAATATTAAAACACATTGCTAGTCAGTGTCCCTATCTTACCTTTTCTGTATTTTTTTGTGAATTCTATCCAGCCCCGCCCGGTCCCCTTTTTCAATCTGATAGAACCATTTTGTAGTAACTAGTTATATCGCGGTTTTTTGTGGGTTTTTTTTTATCGTCCAAAACATGTATGAAATATTTCCCACTTGACATTGAGCAAACAACTCTTATTTTTTTTTCAAATTTTGGCTACATTGACAATATCTTCGAATTTTATATATAAACAGCCAAATCCCGTATCGAGTGCAACTAAGTGAGTTGCATTCGAAGTTCTAGTACAATAACATAATTTATGAACCGGAAATGGAGATAAATTGTATCATTTAAATCTTGCCAGTACTGAAATATAATACAATTGAATAATTTATTGAGTATATAATTTATATATACAAAATGCATCAACTCGAGCATGCCATACCTGACGCATTGATATACTTGTTATATTCACCTGCGGAAAACAAAATGAACCTTATAGTATATGAAGGAAACAACCGAATTATCAACACAGTAGGACCAATTTTCTTGTCATAACACAAAAATGACAAAAAAAGCAGAAAGTGGTGAAGCCTACTGGATTTTTCTGATATCAAAGAGCCCCCGAAGGATGACTTGTGAAAAGAAATATGGTCACCATTGGTCTTCCTCCGACCGGCAGTAAAACCCTCGGCAAAGTGGGGCGTCCGTTTGGTTGTGCGAGATGTACAAGTTCGCTGCCACGTCCGGTCAGAATGGGGACGTTAAATCCAATGCCTGGTGTAAGGAGAATGTCCCGCTATTTGCACGTTAAGAACCCTTGCAACAACTCTTTTAGGGGTTCATAGGTGGCCTGTTGCAAGGCTAAATTTCCGTCCCTATCCAATATACCCTCATTTTCCCGTGGCAGTCCAAATTTCTCCGCCCTTCATCCCGGAATGCCTCTTATTACAGGACCAACCTATTGTATTTATTGTTAATTTGTTCTCGTCCTGAACATGCATGCAATATTTGCCACTGGACGTTAAGCAACCAACTATCCATTAATCATAGTATTAAAGAGCCTTACAGTATACCTCAAACATTTGTAAACAATATTACAAATTTCTATGAAATCAAATTGTTATCTGAGATACCCCCTGTTTTTGTAGGGGTTCGGGATGTTCAGTCTTTGGTTTTCTACGTTGTGTTTGTATACTGTTATTTGTCTTCAGGTAGTTTTTCGTTATTTTGCTATGGCATTGTCAGTTCGTGTTCGTTTTGTGCGTTTGATTATCTCTTTTGGTATTTTTCGCGTCTCTTTTATTTAGGTCTACATATTGCTGTTGAAGACAGTTTTGATATAATATTGCTAGTTTAAATGTTTTATTGTTAAAGTTTGCATCAAATGATATATATAACCAAAAGGAAGTAATTTGTATATTAAAGATAAGATAAAATTCCAGCAGAATTTTGTTTTGATAAAGAATGCCTTCTTATAATTTTTTACAGATACATGCTTAAACTAAAACTTAAACTTAAACATGAGTTAATCTATTTCAGTTGATATTTTATATTGTGTCTTTCTATGTTGTGATGTTACACTATTGTTTCAGAAAAAGGGTGAAGGTTTGGTACCATTAAAACGTTTAAACCCGCTGCATTTGTTTGCACCTGTCCTAAGTCAGGAATCTGATTTTCAGTAGTTGTCGTTTGTGATGTGGTTCATAAGTGTTTCTCGTTTCTCGTTTTTTTATATAGATTAGACCGTTGGTTTTCCTGTTTGAATGGTTTTCACTAGTAATTTTTGGGGCCCTTTATAGCTTGCTGTTCGGTGTGAGCTAAGGCTCCATGTTGAAGGCTGTACTTTGACCTATAATGGTTTACTTTTATAAATTTTGACTTGGATGGAGAGTTGTCTCATTGGCACTCATACCACATCTTCTTATATCTAATTAAAGTGTGCCAAATTTTATCAAACTGGGTCGCTGTTATGAATTATATCCAGGTTCTTAAACTTAATTCACGGTAATGAATTTATAAATAAACAATTATATATCTTAATAAATTAAAAGAAAGCACAAAAGATATACGCGAATCTGTGATCCGGTGAATTTAAAAAAATGTTGAAAGACTTTTTTTATATGGCCCTGGTGTGAAATGAATTCAAATGAAAAGGGCTCTACCTCTATTACACTCTGAAAATCCAGAAGGACAATTATACAAGTCGGTGGCAGTCGAAAACTGTACAGGAATGATACATTAACGTCACATAACGGTCTTTAAGATGGTAAATATCTATCAAGAACAATGAGAACTTAAGTTTGGGCTATATGAACGTTGAACAAGGTAATTTTTTTCTCGGACTGTGCAGTGGTTTTCGTTGGTTGCTATCTTCATATTTGTTTTTCGTTATTTGTTGTGTACATAAATCATTCCGTTGGTTTCTCGTTTGAATTCTTTTGTCATGTCGGGCCTTTTATAGCTAACTATATGGTATGGAATTTTATCATTTTTGAACGCCGCACAAATACCTATAGTTGTTTATACATCTACGTTATTTAGTCTCTGGTGGATAGTTGTCTCATTTTCAATTATTCAACATCTTTTCTATCCAATAAAACATGAGGTTACACCAGAATCTCCTCAAAGAGTAGCAAATAAAAGATGGTATACTTTTTTGTATAAATATATAAAACTGGCATGTTCTTCCATGCATTTGGCATATATTGTTATTTGGTATACTCTCTCCCCTTTTTGACGGTCGAAACGA